CGCATCGGGATCTCTTTGCCAGGATATATACCTACGACATTTGGCATTAATTTTAGTTGCGAAAAGGTCAATTTCAGGGTTACCGAAGCTATCAACGATTAATGAAAATGCTGATGAGGCCAAGCTCCACTCAGTGTCAATATTATTGCGCCGCGACTCTTTATCTGCTAAAACATTATCTTTTGATTTGATATATGATGCGAATATATACAGTTGTCTTTTTTCACACCACTGCCAAATGTCCCGCGTTACTTTGTTAAGATGAGGGTATTGAATACCACCATATTTGTTAATATAGCATATTGCTGTAGTATTATCTATCCGCAAAAGTATTTTCTTTTGATTTAAGTCCTTAGCAAAACATTTAAGACCTATAAAGGCCGCTTTAAGTTCTAACAGATTTATATGTGAATTGTTAAAATTATTATCATCCCAGAAGCCACCAGTTTGTTCACCATTGCATGATATCCCCCAACCTGTCAAGGATGCGTCCGAAAAAATTTCTATGTCAAAGTGGTTATCATGAATATAGTTTTTTGCTTGCATTATATTATTAATCCACCATGAAAATTCCGATTTTAAACTAACGGACAGTGTTATTATCATGTCATAATTATCTTTAGCTCTTTTTAAAGATAAGAATTTTTCTCGTTCAAACAGTTTTGTATATAGCCATCCGTATCGCACCGCTGGGCATGCTGAACACAAGAGGCCAAGAAACTTAGCAAATTCTCTAATGGTTAATGATTCTCTCATAGAAATATTTTCAATACGCTGTAACAGTTTGATACGTTTTTCTGGTGGTAATTTTATACACATTTCCTTTGAATCTAATTCAAACCCTAAATAAGATTGTACTTGTTTAGGTATTAGTTTGCTTTTTTCAAAATTGATTACAAAACCTAATTTATCTAATAATTTGACTGTATTTATTACGCATGAGAGGCATTCTGGATAGTCAGATCCTAGGCAAATAAAATCATCAAGGTATATGGAAATTGTAAAACCCTGTTTTCTTAAGTAAGTTACAACAGGTTTCATTAATTTTGTAAAAATGAAAGGAGCCAGTGATAATCCAAATGGAAGACAGTTAAATTCATAAGTTTTATTGAGAAACTTAAATCTCAAATATTTTTTACTATCTTTATGAGCAGGAATCAAAAAATAGGCATCTTTGATATCAACGGTGGCCATGTAACAATTCTTTGACATAAGTCTTATCACTGTACGGATGTCCTCTATTTTAAAGTGTTGGGTTGCTATGAATTTATTTAATTCCTTTAAATTAAGAATAAAGCGATAGGATCCATCCGGTTTAGGAGTAAGAAAAATTTTTGAAAGGAATTGACCAGGTTCGTAGTGACATTTCACAATAGCCCCACACTTTAAAAGTTTTTGTATGGCCTGCTTTAAATGATCAATTTCAATGTTATTAAAGTTATGATTATTTGGTACAACAGTTTGAGTTGGTGCCTTTTCAAAAGGAATGGTAAAACCTTTAACATATTCAAGAACCAATATGTCTTCGGTTAGGTGACACCATTCATCATAAAAATAATTTAATCTACCTGCATGTGGTAATACCTCGGTTGGACGCGTGTGATTAGTAAGGCTTAGGCTTTGCGTGGCTTGAAAGTCGTTTTTGTTGAGTATTGTGGGTGGTCCCCGGCTGGTTGACGGCGTCTCACAGGATTGTTGAATAGATTCTTTGGCCCACCCTGTTTGTAAGTTCGCTGGTTGTAAGAACGGGGTGGGCCCTTCCAGTTTCCCTGATTTTTTCTAACATTAGAAGTGGTTGCTGTCATGACATTGCGTCTTATTTGCAATCCTGATCTCTCTGCTGCTTTGGATGCTCTTATCCTTTCTCCTAAATCAGTTCCGAATAGATGTGAATCTCTTTTTACACCTGTGATCAGATTTACAAATTTTTTATCCATAGAATTAATTACTAATCGTCTTCTAGTTTTGGTATTTTCAAAATGGAGGTCTAAAAATGTTTGGGTAATATCTGCAATTTTTTTTAAAAGTTGTATTTTATTAATATCTCCTTCTATAATCTCGGCAGTGAGATTTGTTAGTCCAGCAATTCCCACACCTAGGTGGTTTTGAGATTTTTCTAGCAATTTGTCTCTATTTCTCACAGACTCACTTAATACAGCAGATATTTCCATATTAAGTAAAGGGGCTTTAGCCAATTGAAAATTTTCCGGTATTAATGTTTTTTCCCATATTTCTTGTTTCTTTTCTTTGGCTAATCCATCCACTAGCACCCGACCCCAACGTTTAGCAATTTCGTCAGGAATATTAGGTCCAAAATTTTTTTCTTTCTCTTTAGGGTCTCCGAGGGCCTCTAAAATATCTCTTGATAAGGTATTTTCTGTATCTATTTTCATAGTTGAATCTGTATGTATCATTGATTCATTTTCAGGTTGCTCAGTCATTTTTTCACATGGAATTTCAACGCAATCGTCACAATCTGACAAAATAATTTCATTTGATGTACTTGAGCAAGCTCGAGAAGGTAATGGAGATTGCAGGTCTTTATCTGATTGTGCTTTTGGACTATCATTCCGATAATCTGAAAAACAAATGTACCATATGTTGGTTCACTTTATTATTTAAAGTCATAGGACGCAATCACGTTACGCCACAAGACTAGAGTTTTTATATGTGAAAAACAAATGTACCATGTGTTGGTTCACTTTGTTATTTAAAGTCATAGGACGCAATCACGTTACGGCACAAGACTTTTATATGTTAATGAATGCACCATGGATTAAAACCAATAGCGTTTATTATAAATCAATAATCAGTAGAAAAATTCAATAATGTTTATTTAGTCTAGGCTGTTCCAAGCCCCTTGTGATTGTCGAAAGTACATCTTCAATAGTAGTTAAATAGCTGGTCACGCCACGCTAAAAAAGGTAAATACCTATTCCCCACGAAAAACACAGAAACATGTTACGACACGTTAATAAAACAACTTGGTTTTGATCTTTTCGAAAGTAGTATTTATCAGTGTATCACTAATATTACAATTTAAATTATAATTCTTTGAAACTGTTATGTTATAACTTCAACGAAAAAAATGTTTACTTTAGATCGTATGACAAACGAAATTATCAACGTAGGTATAACCTACGTACTCACACGAACTTAGTATTTAGTATTTACGCATAGTTATTAGTAATATATCGTACCTTTATTGTAAACCACTCTAAGTTAAAACTACGTTTATCGTATTATTATTATAGTATTTGTACATACCTTCGTTTGAAGAATCAGGCGAGTATGAACGCCGAAGATATTTTTCGATTCTTTTTAGTTTCTTTCTTAGGTACCTTTCCTTGTCCGCTGAATGTTTATGTTTTCTTTTCCCCATTTCGCTTTTAACCCGTTATGTAGGCTGTAAAAAATCACTTAAACACTTTTTTCACAATATTTTCAACAAGAAAAAAAAACTGTTGTCAAACAAGCGATGCCGGCACACGAAAAACGAATGACGTTCCAAAAATGGCGCTGTGGGTCGTGGGTGCGGGGTTGCCAATATCATAACGTTATTTTCCTTTTTTTTTTTTGCTATTTAAGCTCTGAATACGTGTGCGATGCTGATACATTGGGAAATGGACTACATAGTAAGAAATCATCTATAAATCTCGAGGATGTAACGTCGTAGTATAATACTTACTTATGTTTATACGTATGTATAATATATAATTGTATATAAATTCATTTGTATTATACATTTATTTGAATTATACATTAAGTTTTAGTTAACTTTATGCTACCATCATGTTTTTCTGTTTCCCAGAGGTTGACTGGTAGAGAATGCTATAAGCAACCTCTTGTACCAATTCAATGGTCAATAAAGTTTGTTAAATAAATAAATTACACCATTTGCTTTTATTGTGTAGTATCATTAAACTAAACCTAAAGTTAGGTAATCCACTAATTATGCATGTTTTTTTTTCTAACCATCCGTCATGTAGAATCTAATCCATTATCTTTAAATCGTGAACAAGCATTTTTTCTGTGATTTCACTCGCGTGATTATATACTATGTCACCTATGTATAATATAGCTTTATAAGAATTTACAAAATCAGTACAGTTGTTTCGAAGCTTATTCTATTGAAACATACACAATAAAAACTTTCCTCTTTATAATGTTAATATATATAAATATAATAAAATATAGATATATAATATAAATAATATAAAAATAAATATACATATTTTATTATGGAGACAGTCGCATACTGACCTAGTGGGATCAAAATAGGCTGCAAATCAAAATGAGTCTTATTGCAAACTGCTTATGGAAAACTATTAGATTCTCTCAATTTTCCACAACATTTTCTAGACCACTCTCAGGGAAAGTAGGCAATACGCGTGACTCACTGAGATCATGCATATGATCATGTCTCACTTTAATAACAACACCTTTACAACATTAATAATAATAATCAGATAAATAGTAACTTGTAGACTTTAAGAAATATTATTAAAAAAAAATTAAATTTCCATATCAAAAATAAATTGTTTAGCTATAATTCTGGTGTAATTCAATACTTCCCGTATTGCATAGTTGCTTACCAACAAATAATCTATATTAATATTATAAAAAGTAAAGATTTGATTGTTTGTTTGTTTGCAAAACTACTACACATCATAAACCATATCATAAGAGTTGATCATCAAATATATTTTATCCCGAAGCACAGAAAAAAAGTGATGAAAACGGAAGTGGAAGTCTTATAAGGAATTAAAACGTAACGTTTTACTTTTCATAGTAACTTGTTTACTATTCAGTTTGTCATTACATTTATATCCTTGTCATGATATGAATCTATATCAAAATAAACTGTCCCATAAGGACCATAGAGACGAAGTCGTTGACCGAAAGCTAGTTATAATATAAAACGATACCTATGTATCTATTGCTTTACGAAACATTGGCATAATGTAATAGTGTTTAATTTAAAAATTTTCTCATTTCAGGACGCTGACACGGTGGAAAAACTGAACGAAAGCGGGGAGCTGAGGAAAATGCTGAAACCATACAAGGTAATCTTTGAAGGGTTGGTTAATTTCATGTTATTTGGAGAATTACCTAATGTAAGCGTTAGATGCATCTTTGAAAGCTATTGAGTAATGTCACACGAAAGAGTTGAATGCGAACTGTAATCTTTAGTGTTAGCTAGATAAGTTTATTATGTTTCTTGATAATTCAAAACATCACTCGTACGAAACGCGATTGCGCCTTTAAAATTAAATTTTTTAAAATTTTATAAGTCCATAAATCGTTACCGCAATCGCTTTACCCTTGAAAGGTATTGTGCTAGATTTTGAAATTGAACAATTAGCGTTGTAGTTTATATATCTTTGATATTATTATGTATATTTACAAAAACCATGTTTAAGTGAGTCATTTACTAAAGTATACGTATCTATACAGCAACACGATGAGTCCGTCACAGTCGAAACAAATAAACTTCACACACCCACAATTACATAACAACAGCAATGTAATCAACTAACATATGTATCCTTATTCCTTCTACGATCAAAGGCTAGAATCGCGCAGCGAAATTGAATTTCATTTGATATTGTCACACACTTATGAACTAACAGAAATGTCAAAGATAAATTAATAAACTATTTAAAAAAATCTATAATATCACGTTCTTTATGTTTATGATAGCAATTATATTAAATGGATAAGATAACTTTAAAAGAAAACCGATTCAATTGAATACTATTTAGACACAAAATCAAAAGTCCTTTTTACCTACCCAGCAAGTGATCCTATTCTGCTGTTTTTAAATAATTGAATTTCAATAGGATATTAACTACTTACATTTTGCCATTGTACTATCTACCTGAAGTCCAATATTATCAGTCAATATCAGTAAATTAAACCACGCGAAAATTTTACTGTTACCTTATGTCACTCATAAATCTATATTTACACTAATATTATAAAGAGGAATAGTAATATAAAAGCGAAAGGTCTCTCACTGACCCACTCATCACAAAATCTCAGAAACTACAAGCTCTACGTATTACAAATTTAGCATACGTGTTCTTTTTAGGATGTAGGCGCTCATTAAGGCGGGATTTTACGAAATTCGACCCTAAAGGTGTAAATTAGGGGATAAAAGTTCTTATGGAATTTTCTCATTTTCGGACTTAAAACTAGATCACGCGGGCGAAGCCGCTGGCGGAAGGCTAGTAGCTTATATTTTAAAAACTATCTCTCTATTTAGTGCTGTATAGTACAGTCGTAAAGTTGAAAGAAGTAATTACTTGAAAAAAAGGCAAAACTTATGCAGATATTTCTAACCAATACACGAGAATTTGAATAAAATAAGAAGATAATAGCGAATAAATAATAACCTATTTGTTTAGTAATTACTTTTACTAGATATGGGATTATAGTAATTAAAAAATAAAAAATTGGAAATAAAATAGACTAACATTAATATTATTATAAGTATAAAAAAGAGAGATAATATTACCTAATTTATATATAAAATTTTAATGCCACTATCTATTAGACGAATTAGTCTATGGGCGACACTTGGGAACAAATTGGTGTATAATACATCAAAACTGCTGACAGGAGACCCGCTATATTATGTTAACTATATAATCTAGGTACCTATCACTTCTAACAGGATTAACAATCATGTATGACGTAATTCATTGAAACTATGTTTGGGAAATCTATTGATAATATCAGATGCTAAGTATCTACAAGTGTTTATATTCTACATATTGCTTTGTGAGAAGCGATACAGTATAATTTGTAGAATTATTAAATAAACTGGAGCCTTATAACATTGAAATATAATTTAAGAAACCTCTATTAAAGTCGGGGTGAGATTTAATTAGAAGTTCCTTCGATAAGGATTCATTATTACCACTTAAATAAACTTCAGAAGATAAATAAACATTTTTAAACTTTTACGAAGCTTTTTTTGTTGTGGCTTAATCTTCTTTATCATCAGCCCCTTTTAAGAGCCCACTGCGCGCAGTGCCCATCGGCTCAAATCTTCCTTGTGGGTGGTTGATTAGCACACAGGTATATGCCATCGCGGACTTTGGCTATTTTAAAGCCGTACGACATTTATTTAGAAAGTGTTCATATATTTCCTACTACTTAGGCAACATGCACTAAAATATGCGCCCTTAACGTTACTTTTATCCATAGGGAACCATTTAGTCGAATAAAATGTAACTGTATTTATTACGAAAACTTAGAAAGGCTATAATTTACGCTTGCAAAGTCGCGGGACAACAGCTAGTTTATTTTAAAGAGTAAAATTGTTTATTTGTTTGCGTCGAATAGACTTCGAAAATACTTGACTGATTACAATAATTCTTTCACTTACTTGAATGTACATCATACGCGGGTGACATTGACTGTGTGCGAAGTTTTAGCAAAATAACTACCATGATATAATCGTGTCATATTGAAATATATTTTTTTTCTCTAATGATAAGATTCTGGCAGCCACTTAAAAATAGACCCAGACACTCATAACAAGATGAATTTATTACGAAACTACAAAACTTTCAGACCCTTTAAAGTTTATCGGTCTCAATATACATATAAAAAAAATTCAGAACTTCTTAAATTGTTAAAATAAGTTCACTTGGATTCATCCATCAATTAGTATTGAGATCAGTTAACTCAAAATAGCTTTAACTTTATAAAAAAAATATAGCATGAAAATACTCTTAAGAAATTTGATATAATAATAACAAAAAACTTTTTTCATAAACTTAGTTGCCATCGATTTTTATGATTCGATAAGTATTTTCGATGATTACTCCATATAAACAAACAAAGTACTTTTTAAAATATGTATTAATATTTTACTTCTTGATATGCCACTCCTATCGGAGGTTGGACAGCATCATGGCTCTCATATTATTTTTGTGTCTGCTGCTCGGAACAGGGATGTAGGCTCCGTTCAAACCAATACCCTAACTAAGTGGTATTAATAAACAAGGCTTAACGTTGGAGTAAATTTACGTTGAGACTACACTTAGTATTAGTTAAAATTCATACTATTTAACCTAGTACGATGTTCTACGGAAGTAATATTTACTCCAAGAAGTTAGTTGGTTTGCTTATTCCGTGTATAATATGAATTTGGACTGATACTAAAATTGTAATTTTACTTTGAAGCCATAATTTTCCTTTGCATCATGAGATGAAGTATTAGTTATTCCTCATAGCGTGGACAAAATAAGAGGTTGCGGCACTTGATTGTGCTAATGAGTTCGAGATCCTTTGGAGTACTGATAATGTTTGTCATCCACCTTGTCACACCATTAGATTTTGTCTACGTGGAAAGTATATTTGGAGGTATCGAATAGGATTAATGAGACATAACATCTTACGCGGGCCCAATTCGTATTGGACATTAATTACCACTACAGATGCAGCCGGGATCAATGGCTTAACGTGCTGAAGCACGGAGCAGCTCGAGCTAAATTTTTGGTCACCCATGGTCACCGATGGACCGGTCGTAGGACCGACCTTTGCGAGAGTTACTTAACAACTGTATTGCAGACCGAGCGCTAACCACAGCTTCATTGACAGAAAAATCATTATTAAATTTAGATGTAGGTTTCATTTAGTAGTACCTCTACGCTATGATAGCGTTGCGCTCGACATCGAGTTCCGTGCTATTCTCATAACACAATAGCACTGTCATATTGTAGCCTAATCATGAGTCTCATTTTATAATTTAGTGTAGTCAAAGCCGTACCATACACTCTTCATTGGATTTCGATTTGATGAAAAAGGAAAGCTCAAGCAGATTGTCACTACGCCATTGTTTAACACTTAAGAGGTAAACAAATATATAATTTTTAATTGGTTTTCTAACACAATAAAGCTGTTATTTAAAACAAGAAAAATATCATGTTACTAAGAGATTTTACAGTAAGAACACGATGAAAAATTATAATATTATATTTCTCAAACGAATTTTATATCGTTTGAGAAATATAATATTATAATTTTTCAATTTTTTCTCGTAAAGTTATTCGTTTTTACGATAAATATTGATAAACTTGTAAGTCACTTTGTAGATAAGGCTTTATAAAGCTCTTTCGCAATAATTCTTACTATTGTGTAAGGTTTGTATAGTCACTTATTCTTTAACAGAAATTAATACGAGTGTATAGAAATATATAAGTAGGATAAGCGCCACAGCCCGCGATCGTTGTTGCTAAGCAACTTTTTCAAGGGACGGGATGGGTAACCATAAGATCGTTAGTTCTTTTGGTTGGTTGGACTTTATTGTAATGTAATAAGGTTTAATTTGAATAAAACAAATTGTATTTGTTGTTTTTGTTTTGTGTAACATTGAAATATATGTTCAGTGAGTGAGGTTGGGCACCAGCAATATAAAGGGATTTGATGTTTGTTATTGAAAAGAATTTCGCTATACATTTTAACAGTTTTACATAAAAACTATCGCACCAAACGAAAATTAATCAATACACCTAATCTAGTAGAAAGAACATTTTGTCTACACAAAAATAGTAAACAATAATAATACCACATTTAAATCAAGTGTCTGTGGATTAATGTAACTAAAGAAGAGGAAAAAAACTTGATAGCTATTGTCTAATTTCGTTATCTATCGCATTCCCTTTTAAAGGTTAAGCTATTGTGATGGCGATTTATTAAAATACACGTATAACTTTTAAAGTCGTAATTAAACCCTTTATATTGCAGTGAACACTCAATAGCTTCAAGCATTTTTCGCTTTGCTGTCTAAGTTCCAATTATCTTTCAAAAAAACGTCGCGGTCGCAGTCAATATCTCATGTCTTATAGTTGTAGCGTTTCATACTTGAATATTTTTCAAATGGTAATTTTCAAATTAGACTATCATTATACCCCTGATTGCCTGTTGCTGGGCTTGCTGTCGCACACCCACTATCATTCTCTTTCTAACAAATGATAGTTTTAAGTGACAGAAAAGGAAAGAGCGACGGAGTGGACTCTTATTTTCTAGGAAGCTCAACTCTAATACTATTTACCTAAAGGTACCGAAGTTGTGACCGTACAATACGTTATCTAATGAGGTTTTTATAATATCAACTGAAGTATAATATATAAATTGATAGAGCAGGCCGAGTGTTACTTTTTTATCGAAACTTTAAAAATAAATTGCAGGCCACGTCGCCAAAAAGAAAATTCGACTTCATATGTTCATCGTGGTGAGTTAAAAACGATCTCTATAGTCATAAACTTTCAAAGCGTTTTCCGTTTCTCAAGTTGGAAATGAAATGCTGCCGACGAGCGGGTACTTCTTTTCCTGTATAGTACGCTCAAAATAGATTGGTACTTTAAAACTAGTTTTTAAATTATCAATGACTTGAAATATCCCACCGTAAAAATTATATCACTACATAACTAGCATATATAATGTATCAAATAATTAAAAACTAATTTTAAGCTCTTTTTTAACTCATTGGTAAATAGTTAGACCAATGTTAATATTATTACTGTTTGCAAAACTTTGATTTTTTTCAAAATTATAATCATTAATATTTAACTCTTATTCTGAAAATGTTACCGTAATAACAGCAGGCCAATAGCGACTTAATGACAACGCCTTAACAACATTCTGGTATCGAATGAAAATACTAGTATCGTATCAGTAGTCACAGCAGTAATTGTTTATTCAAAATTACTCGTACAAAACAGCCAATTAGATGACACTACGCACGTAATGAGGACGAATAAGAAGTTTGAACAGAAAAATGTGTCAAGTTTCTTCACTTTATTTTAATTAAACCTTAATGTTTTGGTGGTACAGTATAAAAACAACTGGAGAAGTTTGACATGTTGTGTTAAACTAACGTATACCATTTCAAATCGTTCCCACTATATTGGCAGCGCTCTGTCACAATACATCCTGTTTCGAGTTGGAGACAGATATACCTAAAACGAAATATGCCGATGGAAATGAGAAAACGAACAAAGCGAACATATTTTTGTTTTACATTATTTGCGTTCGAAAAAGTCCTCATACTGCATTTTTTTTAATGACATCAGCGATGCGTACCTTTCACATTTTCGAGCCAACACAGTACCTAAATAATAAAAAAAATCTTATTCCATTATTTATTACTTTTATTAAATTTTTTAAGTTGGTTAACCCTTTTTTATTTTTTTAACATTAAATTCAGTAGTACATATATTTAGCGCAAAACAATCAATTGTGACTATGTTGTTCAAATAAAAAACTAAAATATCAAGACAATTATTCAAATTCAAAAATTATTGGTTTATTACCCCATTAATGTGTATAATATAACTAATACACAATATTTTCTCCGCCATTTCAGAGTCCAGACGCCTGCAACACCTGTCAAATGTGCGGAGGATTCCGTCTCCTGCCCTGCAGGATCTGTAACGGCTCGAAGAAAAGCCTGCATCGGAATCATTTTACTGCTGAATTTGTCGCATTAAAATGTATGAATTGTGATGAAGTCGGCCTCGTGCGTTGTGAGGTGTGCTCTTGATCAATTTGTATTTTTAAGGCCTTCTCACACGGTGTAAGGCATAACAGTTCGAGGCAATTTCAGTTGATGGCATAATCTGTAATCTGTAGCACTATTTTGTTTGTACTGTTTCAAAGTATGCTTTTTTTTTTTGCATATAAACAAATATTAAATGCGCATACATGCATGTACAATCTTTTATGTCAAGAATTATATATATATTAGCATCTCTAACCTTTTTTGGCTGTTTATAGATTTTTGTAAAAAATATAAACTTTAAAAAGGCAGGATGATGCAATAAGAATTTAGGTTCATTCGTGCTCTTTCAATTAAATAGCTAGTGATAAAATTTACTGCTAAAACAGGGGCCGAACTTAATATTTACTTATATTTTCTTTTTTTACTGAATTGATTGCATTGTAAACAATTGAACATAAAGGTACGTAAATGCAATTCAACGGTTTTTTTATTTCAAAGTACAACATAAATCAGCACATGCCTTTACATCACTAATTGCTTCCAATTCAAGATAATCTTAAACTGTAACTATTGGAATTTGCATGTAGTTATAGACCCATTAGTCTTAGTCTAACCCAATAAACATATTGATAAGTAGTCAAATAGATTTTTTATTCATAATATGTCAAAAATAGTTGCTTAGTTAAAACAATATCGATAAAATATCTAAACTAAAGCGTATAAATATTTACTTAGATATAATTTAAAGCTCAAATAGATTATAACACTAACACTTTATTATAAACTCAATGGAAGGTACAAATTTGTGTTTTGTTTTTATACAAATTGTGGCAAAAAAATCATGAATAGGTAGAAAAATTATAACAGATGTAGACTTTAAAATTAGAACTTAACTGTTTCGTATATTTTGAAACTCCATTGATGGCGTTAGTGTCCTAATTTGATGTTTTATTTTTTTATGACAATGTTCATATGAATAGACCGAACTCATCGGATCAATGTCTATTTCAATGGTAATTGTCACAACTTGTATTCAGTGCCAAGCACTATTTTTTTATCTGTTTTTCACGGTCAACTCAAGTTTTATTTACAATGCTATATTATTAAGGACGTTATTTGTATTAATTGAAAAAAAAAGAGTTCATTTTTAAACCTCTAAACCTTTTTTGTATTTTTTTATATATTTGAGAAAATCATATGTTCATTGAAATGTAATATTGAAATTCATTATAATTTGAAATTGGTAGTGTAGGTGTGTTGTAATAAAATAAAGATAGCATGCCATAAATTAGATGCAATAATTTTTCTATTTTATATAATTTTCTAAGTAATAATTAGTAGAGTTATTTTTTAGTATGTACTTGATAGTTTACCTTAAATCCGTATCGAAAATAATTTATTTTAGCATTGAATTTTTTTTCTTCTTGTAGAATTTGAGAACTATATCATGTAGATGGTGCGAAGTATGTTTATCAAATATACTAATTAATTTAAATAAGCTTGCATATTGCAATCTTAAGCGACAGATAACGATGGGGCGAGGAAAAAATGCGATTCTAAGCTGTCACATGTACCCTAGCCCTTATCGAAGATTTTAACTACAGAAGTAGGTTGAAAACTTATTTTAATAGCAAAACAAAAAATGACTAGTAAAGTGATATACATATTTATACAAATATATTTATTTGTTTAATGATTTTTTTGTAGTTTTAATATTCATTTCAAGTTGCTTCTACATGGTCTGGTAAAATAATGTATAATTTTGTTAATATACGACTCATATTATGATGTACTCAGATGTTGGTTAGTCAAATAAATAAATAAATAAATAAAATTATCTATATTATCAGGTACAGAAAAAACACCAGATAGATTACTAGATACAGCCAGAGAATCGTTTACAGAACATAGATTAAGCAAAAAAAAATCTGGTAATTTCATATTTCAAGTGTGTTCACGATATTAACCATTGAATACATATGTTTGTAATGTAGGTTATAATTAATTATTATGTGAATATTAATTAATGAATTCAATCAATAAAAACTAATGAGACTTTTAAATGTAAGCTACTTTAATCCAATACTAATACTGTTCACAATTTACATATTTTGAAATGAATTTTTCACTATTTTTTTTCATATATTGAAGCGTTGTGATAGCTTAAATTTATTAATTATAAAATTACTTAGATATCGAATGTATTCGTCTTATTGATTACGGCGATTTGTAAATACTTTTGTTTAAAAATAAATAATGAATTCAGTATAGCTGTTTTATTCATACACCGCATAGGAATTATCAGTCACATGATATAGAATTATTCGAAATTCAATTTGCCAAAATTATTAAATGCTATTTCAATTGCCTTATTTGAAGAGTTCTGAAAAAAAACTATATTAATGAATATCAGATAATAATCATTGATCAATAAGTACCGAAACACTTACTGTATTTTTAAAAATCTATTATATTCAGTGCTGGATTAGGCTCGCGGCAAAAGGAGTAAATGGTCTGAGAAAAACAAAAAATCTTTTTTTTTTTAATTATAATTTTTTAAGCGTTTTTCATTAAGAATATTTATCATTAAATCATTGTCAATGCGAAGTTAATCAAATATAATAAATATATGTATATATATAAATCGTACACATATATGAGCGGAAAATTGTTCACAACGCGGTGTGTGGTCACAGTACCACATAGCGAAATTCGTCTCGTAGCTGACATGCTATTCAACCTCGAAACGTTTTGTTTTGTTTAAACTATACTTCAACTTAATAAATTTCATGTAAACCAAGGGCCAAGGGTCATGGGCCCTTGTGTAATTTTGCTACAGGCCTCGCTCTGGCTTAATCCGGCACTGATTACATTACAGACGTTTCAGATGCTTTTAAATAGGCTAATTGGCCCATTTTAAAATCTATCGTTACCCCTTTCATGGAATCATGTAACTTTTTAAGTCATTATCGCACTTTGAACATTAGACGATTTGAATTAAGAAACACATCTAATAAAAACTTAATTAAACCCTTGGAAAGATTGCAGTTAGCATTCGAGTTGTACATTCGACGTTTCTCATTAGCTTTCAAGAATTTATCATTTTGTTTAAACAATGCCAATTAAGGTTTAATTCTCAATATGTTTGAGAAAATACGCGATTCCGTTGGCCTGAGGTTTGTTTTTATATAATAAATTATTAGTTACAAGATATCACTATACGATCTTTAATTGGTAGTAATCATATAGTAAAATATCACGTAGATCTAAGTAATTACGGAGAATTATGAATTACTAATTCTATATAATAGGAAACTAATTTCAGGTTTATAATACACTAGCTGTTTTTCTGCGACTTGGCCTGCGTATCTTGTACCTTGTAAGTTATGTCACCTTCGTATGATGTAACTTTCTGGATGAAAGAATTTTTATATTCGATCCAGGAGTTTCGAAGCCTATTCAATGCACACAAACATGTAGTCAAATTTTTCTTTTTGATTGTTAGTATCACTATACTACTCTTACCACCCGGCATAGATGTGTTTTAAATAAATGCAGGACGATATATTGATCTAGCCAGGTTTCATTTATCAAAAAAGAAATACCCAGCATAGCTCTGTGATCCAGGTACTATTACCAAATCGAACCAGTTTGGGTTTAAAAATATAAAATGGGTCACGAAGAGGCAGTGTGAAAATTAATAGTGTTGGGAAACACTGCTCTAATAGAAGCAGCGTTGTACTCGACAACGATAGCTTTGTCACGGCACAGAGGTTTAATCAAACGATTCCTACTTCAAAAGTTAATCAAAGCTTTATTTCAATAAAACCCAACGCTTTGCCAGTGCTGTGCTCGATGTTATGTTTCAGTGAATTCAAGGTTATTTTATATATTAGAGAATAACATAATTGAACCGGTGGTAGGTAAAACATATTGATTGATTCAAAAGTATTTTTTTTATAAATTATTAAAATGCTCTGTAAAATAGTACTTCGATAACAAAGCTTTGCTTGTTTTTTTAGGTAAATGAAATCTAGCTAGATCGGTCTCCCTGCATACTTAATTTCATGGAAAGCCTTGGAGCCAGTTTCCGAGATTTATGTTTACAAGAATTGTTTGTTTAAGGCTTTTAGATATACCTACTACTAAATAAGATAAAGACTAGAAAATAAAGTAAGCTAATCCGCACCCGACTTGTAAAGAAATAGCAATTCCTTTAACGTGGTGTTAGAATTTATCAGAAAATTTACGATTACGCTGAAAGCAAAAAAAATATGCTAACTTAAATTTTAGGCTGCAACTTCATATTTATATAACCGGGTTCATGTTTTTCAATTTTTTCATCATTACAAATGATAACTATAAATATTAACTTAATGAACTATAATTAATTTAAAACGGTAACAATATCCGAGAAAAGCTCATCACAACTCTAAAGCCATTACATTACGCAATAATTTTAATGAGAAAAAAGTTTCTACTCATAGTTTTAATAAGCTGACAATGTAATACGTTCTCTGTTATCTGATGTACGCTACCCTATTATAACGAGTATTCGTTTAGCTAAAACAAAGTTGCTTTTCAGGCGAGCAAGAAATCAATGACACCTATACAAACTTGTTGCACGGTCTGCCTGTGAACGTATTACGTATACGTGTACATGTACACGCGTCAGCACACATAGAAATATGGACACAGACTAGATAATCCAGTTAACCAGCAGTGTAGGCATTCTACAAGTGGTTGTTTGACTTGAGCTCTTTTAATTAGTACAGGCGTATTGAGAGTTTAAACGGAGCTCGATGTAGTGGTTAGCACGCTTGGTCTGTTAAGTGGATGTTGTGTAATTTTCGCAAGGGCTAATCATTGTCTGGGTAATCATTAATTTATTATTTACATTTAGCCGTTAATTCTGACTACATCCATTGTCGTTAATACCCAACAATCCGCCTTATACCCAGTTTGGCCCTTCCTTAATTGATAAACTTAAATGATTACCTTAATTGATACTATCCTTAAGGAAGACCAGAGACCCAGCAATAGGGATATTAGTAGGCCACTGATGATGTCGTAGTTAATACTTTTTTATTTGTAACTCTTTTGTCAATTCTAAGGTCAATAAATGTTTCTTTTTCTTCTTAATTGTCGTCTAATTTATAAAATATATGCATATGTTTACTTTACTAAAGTTTTTGGGACAGCATAAGCTACCCAAATTTAGATAAAAAAAATCCTGCACGCAAATGTTGCCTGGAAGAAATTACTTTTCAGTAATAAGGCCGTCAATTGTACATTTAATATGATTGTATCCCATTATTTTGTCCTATATTGGTGTACAATAAAGCATATTTCATTCATTCATTCTAATATTTTTTATTAGACAGATCAACAATAAATATTTATATAAAGTAAGACTATTTATGATTATATTGGTACTTCTAAAAATATTTTATTTTATAATTAAACTAAACTATATTTAACAACGGTGTTATCTTAGTTATTTTAAACAAAAGCGAGACAGTATAATTAATTATCTCAGTTTACTTCAATGATAATCGAACTCGGGACCTCGGAGATGACGAGGCATTCGAACAAGCGTCTTCTAGGCCTTGAAAGTGGCTTTTACTACTATTTAACTTTAACTATGTCTTTTATTAACAACAAATAGTTATATAACATTAAAATTACATTTACACTATGGATCCTATTTTGTTTGAAATAGCAATTTTCTAAATATATTCTAGAGAATACCGCGAATATAATAAATTAGTATTAGTTAGTTACTTGTTTTATGAAACAACACTTGAACCTTTTTTAATTTTGTTATTTAATATTTTCTAGTACTTCACCTTATACAAATTATAAAGAGGCTAGATATAATATTAAAGTCAATAAAGTAAATTACATTTTAAATATAGCATTTTTAATATTGCTGCTGTGCTGTAATCGCTAGTCTATGTTCAATTGATACGAGGAAGACACGCACACAACAATCTTCAGGGTCTGGTTCACGCACACAGAACAAGGCTTCGACAAGGGCTGTAGCTGCAGCTAGGTCGCGAATGACGTCATGGTGCGCAAGGTCAATATCACTTGTTCGTCCTTATCGGATGTAGGGTGAAAATACAACTGTCCCTCTCTCCAGCGGATACTCTGTCTGTGCCTCGGATGCAAGGTGTCCGCGTGGGAGGGTGTGTACGGCTGTAAGCTTTTCTCCAATACCTTTGTCGTTTCCCGTTTATTGTTATTTCGTCTTTATGGTTTTCTTCTTAGGAAGTTTATTACTCAATAAATTATAAGTACTGATGGGTTACTTCGTTTGTGGAGGCTTTTTATGCTTGTTTTTTTATATAGAGGCATTTCGTAGGGGTGTAAGCGCGATTGAAGACTAATTAATTAATTCCTTAGCAACATTTTTGGCGAACCAGATTTGCTACTGAGAATTTTCATATTGTCGAATATTGATGAACTACTATTATTAAAAGATGGAATTAACTTCACAAACACTTTATTTACTTTAAGTATGAACACAATACACGTTAGGTATTAAATGATGGAGCAGAGATGATCGCTGTTTAGAATATAGTCAAAAGAGAGCGAGAGAAGTGAAAAAGCAAGATAGCTACAATTAGTATTTGAACTTTAAAAAATGATTTCTTGATGGCGTTTCTTTCTATAAAAAACCTCTCTACAAGAAGTTCCTTGCCTCAGCAGGAAAATCGTTTCTTGCCGGTTTTTCTACAAGGTCACCCGCCGTAGATTTCCGCACCGATGGCATAGAGTTTCGACTATCTCAAGTGCCAATATTGATTTAATGATTTTGATTTGTTGAGATAAAAGTATCCTATATACACACTTTGAATTATCCATATACCAAAAATCAATGAAATCCGTTGGAAAGATTTTGCATGAAAGAGTAACAAACATGCATACATCCACATAAAGTTTCGGATCTATAGTTTTAATAGGAAAAAAGAATGTATGTAAGATCCGTAATTTGTACCACTTGGTCCTTTCTGCATACTCTACCAGACAGATAAATTCATTTATTTATCAATAATGTTGTCGAATATGGGTCACTGGAAATTTTCCGAGAGATTGGTCACACTCTATATTCACACCGCTAAATAAAAAAGGCCAACTAAAAAGTGCAGTAACTAAAGACTGATAGCCCTCATATCCCATGCTAGCAAAATCATGCTGCATGTTGTCAGTGTGCGACTTAAAGCTTACCTATCCTTCTAAAGCCTTATACGACTGGAGACCG